CTACGGCAGCTTGAAATTTGATTATTTTCCTTTAATTACGACTGAAAACGAGAAAAATCAGCGTATTTAAGTCCTTAAAATCATAACGATTGCTTAAGTACCCCATTTTGCCCCCCCCCCTCCCCTACTGGAGTGAACGTTGATTTATTTTTATAGCGTTTTATTTATAAATTTATTTAATACCGTAGGTTATAATTTAGAGTAAATTAGACATTAATTGTTTATCATTCGTAAGCTTCTAAATGTTAGAGTTGATAAAAGTTGATTGACTTACGTCTGGGACTAGGTAATTATCCAGCTAAACTCGTATTACTGTCAACTAAAATTTTTCCCAACTCACCCCTATGTGGCCGGGAGAATCGTGTAGATATTATTTCCGGTAAAGCCCTTTTTTCATCAATCTACTCTCTTGTGACACGTGCTTCAAATCACTCAACGCCTAAATTTCTCATTCAAAATTTCTCATCGTGAGAAAAAATTATTTATAGCATTAAGAAAGCAACGAACTATTCTTTAAAAATAACGTCGAAAAATTTTTAATTAAGCAAATAGCTTTGGTAACCGTTCATGTATTTTATGGACTGGCTTATTATGGAATTGAAATCATTTTTATTTTTCTATTGAAATTTATTGAGACTTTATGAACGAATAATAAAAGAAGGTGTTGTAGAGAGATCAAAATAAATCTGTAGATTCATACTATTGCAAGGAATCATAGAACTCATGTAGAAAACAATAACCAGTGGGAGTTTTGAAATTATTATTACTATTAAACATTGAACTTACACCTTTAGAAGTTGAATATTTTTAAGGAGGTGTTAATGATTTTGAAACTTTTAAAAAATTTTTGAATCTTGCAATTGATTGTTTAACAGAAAAAAAAATTTTAAGACGTAAAATGAAGGTACGGTTGAAGAAGACTATTCATTCTAAGGTATTTGGATATATTACACAGAAAAATTTCTTGACTGGAGAACATAAATCTTGGCTCAAGAAAATTTTCGGGTGCCTGAAGGAAGACCGAAGTTGTGTTGGCCGAAGTAAAAATTTTTCTTGAAATTCTATTCTTGGTGGAAGTAATTTTTTCTTAATTCAAATTATCATAAATACTTGATACAATAAATTTTTATATTTGATCAAGATTTTTAGATACTTTAGGGAAGCAGCGCCACCTACTTCAGCTGAGAAAAAAATTATCTCATCTTGAGAAAATTTTTCTCTTGAATATTTGATACCCATTTAATATTTATTTTAGCGTGCAATTATACATATTGAATGAAAAAAAATGATGAAATATTATTTGATATTAATGAAAATTTACTTCTATCTTTATATTTAATTTTTTGGAGTAAGAGAGAAATTTTCTCAAAACAAGAAAAATTTTC